CCCCCGCCGGGGCAGGAGAGCAGCGGAGCAGCCAAGGGCGGCTCCAGAAGCGCCGGTGCCACGTTCATGTTCCTGCGCTCCAGCTCGGGCAGCCCGCGGGGCCTCCCGGCAGCAGCCCCGGCCTGGCGTCCCGGCGTCCCGGCGTCTGTCCCGGCGTCTGTCCCTGTGTCCGTCCCGGTGTCCGTCCCGGTGTCCGTCCCGGTGTCCGTCCCGGTGTCCGTCCCGGTGTCCCGGTGTGGGTTCCTACAGGGCCACTTCCCCCTCCAGGGCATGTGGAGGCCTAACTGTGCCAGGCCTTGTGCTGGCAGACCAGGTCTTGCCCTTCTTCCATTTATACGAGTAAAAATTACTCTAAACCTTTACATTTCGTTTCTCCCAGCTTTGTGTACATTTTTGCCCTCCTGTATCTCTGTGGCTTCGACTCCCACCTTCCTCCTGACAATTCCCGTGCCTGATGGTTCATCTTGTGCTGTTGCTCCTCATCCACTACCGGCCAAACCCACCTGGGCAACCTGGCTGCATTCTGCATACTCTGGTGGGTGTTTTTAAGTTGCTCTCACTTTTCGTGATGCTCTCTGTGTTACAGGTGGTGGAATCAACCCCCAGAGGTGCCTCCAGGAAGAGCAATCACCTGACCTCGATGGCACAAGTGTCCATTGCTGTCCTGGTGCATCCTTCCTGCCACAAGGCACTGCTGTTCTCCACGATTCCTAGCCAAGCACTATGGTTTGTGTCTCCAACACCACAAGTCTTTTTACAGACATGTTTTTCCCTGGCACAGTTCTCTTACCCAAGCTGTTTATCTCCCTTTGCAATTACCAAAATTCATCCTCATAGGATGTGATTTAGGAGTGTAAAACAGGCATTTATGGTGTCATTTTCAGGTCATCTTTATAACTTCATGTGTCTGCCACTCCCTTTTCAGTAGAAAAGTGAATTTTAGTCTCCCACTTCCCAAAGGCCAGGCCCTAACTGCTGGGGTATTGACTACATGGGAGGGGATTGGTCCTGGTATACTGGTATTTTATAATTTTTATAATTTTTCTTCACTTGTTAACAGAAGATTCCTGGGGATTTTTAATTTTTAATCCGATAAAAATCCTGCTGTTCCTCCTGCAAGAAATCAGTCAAGCAAGATTAGTTTAATTGTTATGATAGTTATGAGTAAGGTCACACTGGTCACAATTTTCCATAACCTAAAATAAAAATGAGCATTTTCATCGTATCTGAGCTCCACAACCATAGTACTATTATCTTTACCTTTAATTTTATTTATCCTATACCTGCGACCTTCTGCTGATTCTCCAAGGATGGAAAGTAGTGTTTGTGGTGGGTTTTCCCCCCATTGAAGCTCAGTTCTTGGAATCCCTTGCTACAGATAGGCTGCAGGAGCCTCACACCAGAAAGCCACTGCCAAGCTTTACAGCTTTACAGCTGCAGAAGAGCTGCAGCCTCAGAGGGGCATCTGTGTACTATGAAAATATGAAACAAAGGAGTAAGAGTTTAAACAGGGAGTCTAAACCTCAATTTAATTTCTTTAACAACAACAAAAATACACACAAAAACACTAAAAGATGGCAAGAATTATTTTTTTTTTAAATGCTGATGCCTTGGGGACAAAGTTCAGTCCTGAGCATGAACTATAATAAACTTCTCTATCTCAGGCAATTTTTATGGCTTGTGGACATCATGGCCGTGACTGCAGACATATCTGAGATGTCTAAACATGACTTTGTGTTCAGCTACTCCTGCTCCAGGCTCCTGCCTTTACTGCCCTTCAGGGCCCACCTCCAGTGTGACCCTGGCTGTGTGTTTCTGGGCATTTTTCACCCCCGAGTTTGCCTCGTGCCGGAGCGCGGGCCTGCCGGGCTGCCGGGTGCTGGAAACATCTGCTGCTCAGCCCAGAATTGGTGTTATTGCCCCCCTGGGGCTGTGTCACCGCTGGAAACTTGGGAGTGTCTGCATCTGAAGTTGTGCATCCTCTTCCAGACACAGAAACTCTGTTCGTGATGCTCTAAAAAAGTAATTAGTTTCCCTGTAGCGTGTTTTACTGTGTCTTTTGCAGGGTGGGTGAAATTCCTGGGAGTGGCTGTAGTTTATCTGCATACAGGATGTTGTCCTGGTTTGAGACAAGATGAAGCCAATTTTCTTTTTACTGATTTTTTTCCTTCGGTGAGCTCTCTCCTAACTAGCAGCAGGATTTCTAGCCAGTGGACTGGTAATGCTGGAGTGTTTATAGATACTGCCGAGACGTCAAGGACGTTTCTCTCTGCTTGTTGAATCTGCAGCCTCAGATGCTAAAGGAGCAGAAGAGTCACATCTGCAACCCTCCTGTAAGGAGGAGTGGACTAGATGGACAGCAAAATTGACCAAAGTATTCCATTCTATATATCTGTGTAAGCTCGGTGTAAGGTCAGGGATCATGGAAGTCAACTTCCTTCCTGCTTCTTCTGCCTTTCTATTCCATTCAGAGGCAGCATCTGGGGACAACTCTGTCCATCCCTCACTATTGATCCCTAGACTTGTGCACTCCTGACCCTCATCACTCTCCCCTCAGCTCCTGTCTGCTCTGCCCTCTCTCTGGCAGCTCCAGGACATTTCAGAACTGCTCCCAGCTCAGGAGATGACAGGGGAGTTGCTGGGGCTGGGGGCGGTGATAGGGGTTTGCACATTCCTGAACACATTTGTATAGAATTGTACATATTTTCTTTTATAATTCATATTTAATTAAAGCTGTCTGGTTTAGTTTTCAATCCAGAGAATCTCTCTCTCATTCTTTCTCTCCTTTCCCTGCCTGGGTGAGTGGGGGAGGGGATCAAGAGCATTGTTGTTGCTGGTTTAATTGCCAACACTGAGTGAAACCCTGACAGATGTATTCGCCTGCTTAATGAGCCTCCAGACTAGTCATAGAATAAAACTATTCACACAGAACTATTAGCAATACATTTGTAGAGTTCTTTAAAAATCACTCATGTCTATTCACAATTTGTATCTAAATTTCTAACTATTTTGAAGTCTTATTAAGCAGAACTAAGAATCTAAATATTTCATATAGTTGGTTATCTTCTAGAATGGTTGAGGTGTAACCCAGAAGTAAAGCCATGCTTTTTTTGTGGTGTTTTGTTTTTTTTTTTTCTGTTTTAAAAACAAACCAAACAAAACAAATCAAGCAGCTGTTGAGAATTAGCACAGCCATAACAAATGAGACCTAGAGATAACTCTCATATCTCCATCTACTTTCAACTCTTTTTTGTCAAAAAATTTTGTTTCAGTGTGTCCTATCAGGCTGTTCCTCGTGCTAAGAAAACCATACATTTGAGTAGGTGATAAAAGTAGACAGCAATGATAACAAGTGAAAACACAGAAGATATTTATTAAGTCACAGTATCTGCCTTATGTTTCAGGGAACTTACAAGCCACTGTATACCTAGATCCTCTATTGTATTTTCTGCATTTACTGTATCATTAAAAGGAAAGACAGAAAATACCACACAAATTTCACTTAAAATCTGAAATTGCAGAAGTGATTCCTTGTAAAATGATTGGCAAGCATAATTTTAGGGTTTTTTAAATTGGAAGTATCTATACCACTAGAGGTCCTTCATGGTCAGACTATGATTTCCTCCACAGTAGGGTTTGTTGGTTTTTTTCCTATTTCTTTATCCTTGCTACATACAAGAGTTACTGTCTCTAAATAAATTAATTTTGTTTCATGTAATACATTCTTAGAATAAAAGTGTGTTTTTTTTCCTTGAGTAAACTTTTTTTTCTGGGAAATAGCAATGTAAGGATTTTTAAATATTATTTCGTTAATAAGAGCTCCTAGTTTATTATGAAATAAAATTGGTTTATTTCTTCATTCAACAGCTGCATGTGTTCACATTTCCAATTTTTCATCATTTTGCACCACCTTTTGCACTACTTTTCTATTAGAAAAATAAAGGAATGAAGCAAAGATCAAACTACTGAGCAAAATTAGAATAAACAACTGGAACAATAAAACAATATGTAAGAAAGTTGTTATCTACTGCTTCATCATGTTCTTGTTATTTTTCCTAGTTAGAAGCTAGTTTAACATGTTTGGAAACTCTCTGGAAGATCTTTGCATCCTTGGCAACTTGAATTATAGGACTGAGATTAAATTTATCACTACAGAACACAATGTAATTAGTAACAAAGATTTGTAGCATAAACTCATCATTTGGAAATTATTAGGAAATAAGGCAAAGAAATACTTGCTGTTCCCAGGATGGCATGAGCTGAAAAGGCCAAATAGCTGCACGAAGGGCAAAAGTAATCCTAGGATGCACCAGCTGGAATTAAGACAGATGTGTCAGACTATACAAAGTCCTGGGGACGCTTCTTCTGAAATATGGTCTATGTGCTGGTTACTTTTGTTCAAGAACAATGTGCAGAAAGATTCTGACGGATCTATAGGAGACATGGGAGCTTGGCTTGGTGGTTTAGCACTGAGATGAGGCATGAGTGCTCTCAAAAAATGCACGGAGAGCAAACCCCAGAAAAGGAAAGAAACTTTTAAATGACAATGTTAGCACAAGAACAAAAGTATATATGAAATATTATTAGGTTTAGGCAGAAAATGAGAAGACAGGTCCTTACTAATATTTGCAACACAGCTGTCTCTACTAGGACCATCAGGGCCTGGAAAAAATTTTCCATAGGAGTAGCAGAAACAAGGAAACAACTATCTGGCAGTAGAGCATTATCCCTGATGGCCAAAAGATTCCTTCCCAACCAGTATCTAAAGAAAAAAAGATTTGCAGATGAAGGAAATCACAATTTAAAAATTAAATTGTTCTAATATTCTCTAAAATTAGCCATATAAAATTAATCTAAGGAACACTGCAGTAAACCACTCAGTGCAAAAACACACCTTATGGCTGCACTGACACATGCTGCAGTGCAGTGGGGGGTCTGCTGTCTCTACCAAGAAGGAATGTGAAGCAGCAGGCATTTCCACATTGCAATGTCAGAAAGGATATTAACTAAGCAAAAGCAACTGAACACGGAATCGTGTGAATTTCAATATATGGACCATTTTATTTAAGGTAAATGGAATTTTGGTACTAGATTGTTGTTGAAAATCACCAAAGCAAATGGAAATGGTAAGAGAGAGGGTGGCATTAGGGGGGTGATTAATACGAGGTCCCATGAGTCTTTATGCAACGCTCATTCTGGTCTTGACCACCCTGTTCATCTGGGATGGGACCCCCCGCTTGGCACTGTACCCAAGCCAGAAAAAAATAGGGGG